CGGAATAACTGACCCCAAGATACAAGAAGAGCAGTGTGGCTTCCGGTCCGGTCGAAGCGCCTCTGTCCATATATTTGCCCTGCGCAAGATTGTTGAGAACTCGTGGTAGTACGACCGTCCGATGTAAATGTGCTTGGTTGATTTAGAAAAAGCCTATGACCAAATCCCGCGCAACAGCCTGTGGTAATGCCTGCAAGCATACCGGGTAGTGGCCAGCTGCTAAGAGCCATCCAATCACTGCATTGCTGCGTCAGAATAAATGAGGTTAATTCCAATCCTTTCAACGTTACCATTGGTCTTCGCCAAGGTTGCGTCCTGTCCCGTCTGCTGTTTGTGTTACCCATGGATAGAATAGTCAGGAGCAGCGATGGAGATGAGTGTATTGGTGAGAAGATGTGAAGACGAGTAGGCAGCTGTTTGCAGACGACCCTGTTTTATTGGTATCTTCTGAAACTGATTTACAGTGATCCCCAGAAAGGTTTGCGGTCGAGTGCAACGTGAACGACATGCGTGTGAACGCATCTAAAACGAAAAATCTGGTGCTTTTTCGTTCTCCTGTCCGTTGTTCGTTTCAGATTAACGGAGAGGCAATGGAGCAGGTGGAGAAGTTCAAGTACCTCGGAACTGTATTTATTAGTGATAGAAAATTGGAGGAAGAGATCGACCGGCGAAGTGGAGTAGCCACTGGCATTCTGCGTGAACTACCCCGATCCGCTGTGACTAAAGCAGAGCTCAGTCTGCAAACTAAACTCTCGGTATTCAAGTCTATCTTTATCCCCATGCTTAACTTCGGTCATGAGTCGTGGATAATGACTGAAAACCTTCGATCTCGGGTAAAAAAGGCTAAAAGGGCTTTCTGAGACGAGTCGCTGGCCCTAGGCGTGTCGACATGGCACTGAATACAGACAGCCGCTGCTTCTTCAGAAACATTAAAAGTCACAACTGCAATAGTTGGGGCATGTGTTACGAATGCCTCCAGAAAAAAAGTCTAAGCACTTGTTTCTTGCCAAACCGACCGAGAGAAGGCCCATGGGACGGCAAATATTAAGCTGGTGCAAACACATGGAAGGAGTCTGTTTGGAACAGACTCTAGTTGTCTTCTGCTGAAGGTCAGACTCTGGTACAGGATCGCGATCGTTGGAGGCACTATCCGACGCGTCTGCCTCCGAGAGCCGGAAGGAGAAGCGGTCATGGAAGATGAATGAATGAACGAACGAAAAGGAAGGAATGAATGAATGAATGAGCGAATGAATGAATGAATCAATTAATGAATGAATATGAACCCTACGCGTAGTCGTGGCAGTAACTGCTAACATAGCCTTGAGAAAATAAGGCCTAACTAATGACATCAGAACGGAACTCGGCACAGTGCCGTCAGCTACATGACGTAAGAAAGGCATAAGCGCGTTAATCGGAAAAGCTTCAGTGAAACCAATATTTGCACATCGAAAAATTTGCGGACATACTTAAAATACTACGACGAAATACCGGGAACGTGTTCCCATGCATTTGGGCCCACTGCTGAAAGTACCCTAAATATGCTACTGCACTTTTAACCAGATGCAATGAAACTTTACAAGTAGTGCTTACTCTAGTGTGGATTGTCAAACTTCGTGGAAGTTGAACGGTGAACCGGAATGCGGAAAGTCTACTCACAAAGATATTGTACACCATAAACTGTGGCCGTGGCAATGATAAGTAAACTATATTACTCCTAAGATGGGCAATATTCTGAGTCAACGTTTCTGGAGCAATAGCTAATGCTGACGCTAAAATACATTCAAATCTTTATAGCTCAACGGTTCAGCCGCATGACAGTGGCATTCTTCAAGACACAGTAAATAAACAGGTTCGGTTCTTCGTTTGTTCTGTGTTGAAGAAGGACATTGTTGTGCGGCCGAAACGTCTGTAACGTATGTTCCAAAAGCTAATGGCATTTTAACATCGATCGTTGCTTTGAGCCCAAAACCAATAGTCGGGACTTCATCGATATTATACAATGGATTGGCGTAGCAGAATCAAAATGAATTTCCAAAATTTTAATTCAATTAAACTGATTCGAACCAGCATTCGGCATCGTGTCCGCAGAAAAACGGAATCTGTAGCCACATATTCGCCGGGTCACAATCGCGGCCATTGTTTGCTACGCAGTGGTCGAACGTCTAAAATCCTGTTCTGTGAAAACAGCCAAAAGCTATCGCGATGGTACCGACGGAAAGGAACTACTTACTTCATTGTTTCCTGCCTTTCTGCGGACAAGGTAAGGCCGAAAGTCGTCGCCGCTTCGAAGAAAATAATAGTACGAGATGAATCGATCCAGTGGTTCGCGGATTATGTTGATGTAGATCGGATTTCGCATACCAAACCTGAAACATTGAATGCCGTACACGGTTGGTACTAAGGCGTGTAAGCGAAAGATTTACCGCCATTCCAAAGAGACAGGCTAATAGATTGCCTCAACTTCAGTCAGAAGATTCAATAACTGCAGATCACTGAAGCAAGACGTGCAGGAAAAATTTTTTCTTTCTTGGTCATACAGCGCTACACTATTCTGTCTACTCCATATCATTTTGTTGTGGTTCTATTGCTGAAGGAAGCAGATATCTGTCTATCTTTCACCAAAC